GGTTTGAATGAACATCCATTTTTTGTGTTTTAATGTATACCCTCTACCCTGCCGAATTAAAATAAAATAAGGCTTCCTCTATATAAACGTGTTCCAGAGCTGTTTTGCCAAAAAACTTAACCAGCCCTAACCAAAAAACCACTCTGAAGGCCAAACACATTAAACTTTTTTTTTGGAAAACCCTCCGATAAAAAACAAAAGCTGTGCTTCTTCATTTTTTCCATAAAAATACGGAAATCTCTTTGTGTGGGCACAAACTGCAGGATCCTCAAAATATTCAGATATTCAGATAATTTGGCAAAGAAATATTTTTGTTATTTCAATATTAAAATTAAAACAATTATTGAAAATTGAAAAAAAAAGAATTGATTAGCATTAATTATATTAGGCCTCGCCAAGTTGGGGTTATTAACATTCCGGTTTATGTTGAAGACGAGACAAACAAATAAACGTTGTTTTATTCACATCCGCATTTTGCTATGACCATAGATAGCGATAGCCATAGACAAAAACAAAACAAGATCACCAACATCATTAGCATCTTGGTCATAGAGACAACACAAAACCACGTTAGAGGTGACAGTAGTTTTGAAAATTTTAGCTCTGATGTCACCCTTGCGAAAATAAATATTTTTGCAAAAATGAAAAAAACACAACAACACCTTCGAAAATACAAGAAGTGAAAATTGGCAAATTTTTCAGAATTTGTAACATCCGCCACAACATTTATGGCTTGATTAAAAATTTATTTTGGGAATTTTGTGAAATTATCCCGCAACATGCCAACAGTTTGCTGTTCCCATTCTAGCAAAAAGCCAATAACTCTTATGACTTCCTCTGCTGGCTGCGGTCTTCTCCCACTTATCAAAACATGGCTATCTAATTTAACCTGTTTTTTGTTGGCTTTTATTACAGGTGGCCTTGTTTTGAGGACTATTGACATGGCTTGACTTAATTGTCAGTCTTTTGATGTGCTCGAAATGTTCTACTTAAGGGCCAATTAAATTCAATTTTAGAACAAATCGGCAAGTGTTATGTTTTGGCTACAATCAACGAAATGACGGGGGAAGATGATGAATGTCAATTGGCATGCCAAACAGCTAGCGAACTTCTTACAAAAAAAAACAAAAACAAATGATAATGAAAACAAAAGAACAAAATTAACCCAAATCATACTGGGATAGTTGTTGAAAAGGCAGACAAAGAAGAAAGTCTTTGGAAAACCCCATGTCTCAATTACAGATAATTTATTTCTGGGAATTGGCATATAATGGGGTTTTAGAATTGTTAAAATTGAGGAAATGGCAGTTGAATATTAGAATGTAAAAAAAATGTTTGTAGGCAATAAATCACACACACGCAGGGTTTCAAATGTTTTACGAGTTGGAATATCGCCGGCGACCATTGAAAATGTAGAAGGCATCAATGCCTGCAGTACGGGAATAGACCAAGTATGTCTCGATATAGTGCCATCGAACTCTAAGCGAATAAACGGGATTTCAGGCTAGGTTATACATTTTATAGCTTTGTGGAATGAACCGTGTGCCAACTGTTTACGAACTGAAACACAATATTCCCAATTTTAGAATATTCGTTGGTCCCAGAACACCCTACGAAACTACCAATATATATCATAGGCCTGAAGAATCATTTAATATTAAAATCATCTTTGGAAACACAAAGGATTATAATAGAAAATCTAATATGAATATATATTGATTACCGGTTACTTGTAACCCATTAGTATTGATTTTTTCTCAGAGTTCAATGGTAAAATTGTCGATCTTTGGAAACCGACTACCGGCTAATCGTGCCAAATACAAATTAATTAGAATTTTAATACTAATTAATATTAGTTTAAATCTGGTGTAAGTTCTACCAAGATTCTAGAAAAATGATTACTGATTACTTGAAACGTATAAATAATCATGTTTAATTGTTCTAATATCTAGAATGTAGAAATTAACTTTCTCTAGATTTGTATATATTTTTATTACCAAATGATAACAAAAGAAAATCCAATTACCGGTTACTTTCAGCATAGCTTTCACCATTATCTTTCTTCAAATTTTATTGCACCTGAATTTCTAACGGTAATATAATTTAAATTTGTTATATAACTTTAATTAAATTATTTATGGCCAATATAACTGTTAGCACGTGGTAATTATCTTTTCAAAACGTCCTTATTTGGATGGATCCACACAGAACAGAACATTTGAGTCAGATATTCCGTATGAGTGTGTTTAAAACAGCACACCACCTTATTTTTGTTGCTATTATTATATTTAAATAAAATTATTTAAATCTTGTTTTGGTTTAGACCAAAGCACCGCTACAGCTTTTTTTGCCGTTCTGCGGTTCGAACAACTCAAACATTTGTCATAAATACCGTATAGCCAAAGACCCGAGGAGTCAACCAATCAGCCATAAAATAAAATAACGTAAAATGACATCATCTGGTTGTAGCGTAGATTTCTTCTTGTCATTATCGTCATCATCATCATCATCATTATTATAATAATCATTTCTGGCGAAAGATAGAAAGATTTGCGAAGAAACAAAATTTCGCTTTTGTTTTGAAAACAAAAATATTTGGCAGAGGAAAAAGTGAAACTCTTTCTCTATTCACCAAGAAAAAAAATCCCCTTTATTTTTGGATATTGGGAACACAGCAGATTAACATTTTTTCGTTTTGAGGGTATTTTGCGGCTACTTTTTAAACAAAAACTTTTGCAGGTCATCGTTAACGCCTTTCCCTTTTATGTTACTGTATACCCTAATACAATGGCTCTAAAACACCTCCCGGCAAATTTTTATTTCTTTTCAAAAAAACGTGATATATATTTTGAAATTGCAATAATTATCAAAAGATTGGCGGATTGTATAATTGTTAGGGCGGCATAAACCATAAAACAAACCCCTATTATTGAAATAATCAATAACCGAACTTAAAGATACTTTTATTTGAGCATTTCAATTTGAATACGTATCACAAATATTTACTTTTCATAAGTAGCCAAGCGTGTCTAGATTTTTTTGTTGTTTGAGTACCAGACTTTGCCATCTCCCGAATATTGAGAATCAACGTAGTATGTACTTGCCATAACCGGTGAATGACCTTGAGAAATATGTAAAATAGAAAAAAACAAATACTTGTTTTGCAGCAATTTTGAATTTTGTTCCTCCAACAGAACCGTATGACCTGAGGTGCGGTTGTTTGCAAAAAAAAACAAAAAGGAATATGAATAGCAGAAGTGTTCCTGCAAACGTACACCCAAACAATGTCTACGCGAGTTACCTGAGTTGGATTACAACTATCCGACGTAATTAACCAATTCACAAACTTATTGCTTTGGTGTGGGCTCAGAGTCTTCTGCTCTTCTCTCAGTCGGGGCTTGGTTTCTGTGTCTGTTGGTTTATTCTGTCGTATTTAAAGTTATCATCTTCGGCAGCAACTGATTTCAGCTATATACAAATGTGTATGTACGTACGCCAGTTTTGAAATTTTTGTATTTGAATTTGCTAATTAACCAAGCAAATACTTGCTCTCAAAATATGCCAATTTTGAATTATTTATGGTTGTTGTTTTCGTTGTTTCGTAGTTGTTGTTTTTTTTTTTTTTGCTCATCCAAAAAATGTTCGAATTGTTAATTAAACTCAGAATACTCATAGCCGATTATAGCTTTGAGTGTGTGTTGAATATTTGCACCAAAATCTAATTGAATTAATATTAAAATTGAAATATAAAATTTTTCGATTGAAAACACATGACTAGATTTGAAATGTGTTTCCTATATAAAAACCAAAGTAAATAAAAAGGAACATTTTGAAATGGAATATATCAAAATATTTGCCGGAAAAAAGCAAAAGATATTACAAGATATTACAAATGCATCCATATTGAACAATAATAGAATCCTAAACGACCTTGAAACTTTTGAAGCTTAAGAGGGTTATGTGAATATTTCTGAATTAAAATTTTATAGAATAATGAATAAAAAATATTTTCTAAAATAATTGAAATATATATATATATACATATATATATATATTCCTCTGAAAACTGAATAGGTGTAATGGCCCAAGATGCCAATTTGTTAAGGCAATAAATGAATAAATAGGACGCACATATTTTTAATTAAATTGCATTGAAACTCTACTTCGAAAGGGGTCTAAGACAATTGGATTTGGACATTTTGAACTTTAGGTTGTAACTATTACGAATGCCATAACATTTTAAAAACTTTTTCTTAGAAAGTTTTAGAATTTTTCTTGAAATAAATTTGATTAGTTTGGGAGAGAATTTTCTGTCAGATTCAGATTCCTCTCACATTCCACTTCAGTGTCAGGAAAAGGAAAATCTTCCACCATAGTTATGGGAGAGAAAATGTGGTTTCAATAAGCATATAGAAAGGAAGAAATATGTCTGTATTTTCAATTTTTTATTTTTTATGGTTGTGAAACATTTCTTATTTTTTAAATAAATTTTAGTTTTGTACTTATGTTTGAGAAAAATTTAAGGATAAATTTGAAGGAACTTTTTTTAAAGTGTCTGTTAGAAAGAACCCCTATTTTTCTATTGGCAGTTTTATTTCAGAAATTCTTTCTATATTAGGAAAATTTATAGATTTATGCATTGGAGGAAATTGTAGTTTCACAAAAACATTGTCCTTATTTTGTTGTTTTGCCATTCGTTAAAAAATTATTATTATCCGTTGACGGATTTTTGGTAAACCGAAAAAATTGTAATTTATATACATTACATTTGCCAATTATCGTTGTTATTTACAATTCAACGATTTTTTCAATTCAATTCAACACAATGAATGGAGAATCCTCTCAATGCAGAATAATTTGTATTTTTTAAGGGAACATCACTCACACCTGCTATTCTTGTAATCCGTTTATGTTTTGCGTTCATTTGTTTTTCGTTTTTAAATTTATATTATATTATATTTTTTATACATATTAATTGTTATATATTTTTTAACACTCACCATGCAAAGAACTGCACGCGCCATACTTCAGCAATTATACACGTGGTAAATCACAGGTATTTAAATTAAAATATATATGTTTACGTGATCCAATAAATAAATCTTGAAAATAAAACCAAAGAAAAACAAAAAATCTAAATTAAAAAATTTTGTCAACACTTTTTTTAAGCACTTTTTCTATTATATAAATAATAATGTTTCTTTTTTAAGTTCTTTGGCAACGTTCTTTATTTGCATTTCAAAAATGTATTTATTCCTTTGGGTGTCCTTGTGGTATGTTATAATATGTTCTTGTTTTTTTTTTTATTCTTAACATTTCATTTGTTAATTTGTTCTTGCATTGTCTTCGTTTTTATTTTTTAAAATATTGTTTTGTTCTTTTAAATAACCAAAAAATAATAATTTACAATTTAGAAGTTAAGCTTAGCTTGAGACCGTACCGTTTTGATCGACCTATGAGAACTGAAGATGATACGCCAAAAGCTTTCGAATATAAACAACGTCGGTGCGCAAGCGTTTCTTGGTTTGGAGATGCGTTGTGACGTCACTGAAAGGAGAGTAACCGATCAACCAACCGACCGACCACCTTTGCAATCAACCTACCTACCTAACTACCACTTAACCAGTTGCTCATACATATGTACAGTGACAGCATCTGTCAGAGATTCGAAGCTAACAACCACAGCAACGAGAACGAAATTGTGGCTAATGGAGATGAGCTCCCTTCATCCATTGGATGTGTGTGATACTCTTTTTAATTTTCTACTCTCTCAAAAGCACACACACACACAACCAGGGCTGCCATATTTGCCGATTTATCGGCATTTTGACGATTTTTCACTCTAAAAATGGAAAATGCCGATTTTCCACAGAACGATATTTCAACAATCGACACAAATTGTAAAGGGATCATACAGCATTTATCATAGTATGTGTTATTTTTTGAAAGTTTATTTATGTATCTGTGACACACACAATGCATGAAGAAAATCAAAATAGTTTTGATTTTGAAAATGAACCCCTATCAATCTGGTGAATAACATTCATTTTGAAAGTTGTCAGTAAATAATTTTGTGTACAAAAATAATTGACGGAATAAAAAAACAAAGACAATAACAACAACAATGTATTAGTCAAAAGCTAAAGATTATTTTTTCAGTAAAACAAGCTACATTCTTTTTTGGCCAAAATCTCTTTTTGGTTGTGAGAAAAAAAAAATCACCCCTTTTTCTTATGTGCAAATATAAGTGTGTGTGTGTGTGTGAGTGCGTATTAAAAAATAGTTATGCTTAACCATCAGATATGGTCGTGTTTTAGATTTTAATTTTTCTTTAAAACAAGCAGAATAGCTTGGTTTTTAATTTGTTTTTTTTTTTCAAAATTCTTGTTTCCAACTTGAAACCACACACACAACCTGTTGATTCATTCGAAAAGTTGTTTTTTTATTATTAGTATTATTTAATATATTTTTTTTAAGAAATCATACATACATATATATGTGTGTGTGCATTTGAAATTGTCTAGATTTTCCTGTTTCAACGAAATTGGAGGAATTGAAATTAAATTCTCTTTGATAAGAACACACGAACGTGCACACATACAAAAACAAATTAGTTGTTTTTTTGTTAACACAAATCTACCCCTAGAGGCAACAGCAATTGTTGCAAATTGCTTAATCCGCTTTTGTGGATTAGTGTGTTTAAACGTATGAATTTAATATCAACAAATATTGCCTTAATTTTACATTTAATTGCTGATTTTCGTAATTTTACAGTTTAACACCACGGCATTGACACTTCCAAATTGAATGTCCGTAAATCCAGGAAACCGATATATTTTAATTAAAATGAATTTTTTGTTAGATAATTAAAGCGATGTCACAAATTGTTTCTAATTTATGTAAATCTATCCAATTAAGAATGGTGGACAATACTAATATACGCAATGATTTTTTTAATATTTTACTACTGCAAAAACGGGATATAACGAAATACTAAACTACATACACTCAGGATAAAAATGATGATATACTTAAAAATGCAGAAAATTATTCATCATTTTTGGAAGAAAGATGTCCCAATGATAGCTATTCAGGTTGGAAAACGTATCAAAAATTCCTCAAATTCCTAATTATGGGAGTTGACCAATAAGGTAGATTTTCTACCCAATGAGAATCCAAAATATAAATTTATATTACTCATACCCTACACAACTATGTTGTAAGTGTATTATAGCTTTGTGAGGCCCAAAGAGGTTGTACCGCGAAGTATCGACTAGCTGAGTCGGTCTAGAAATGTGTGTCCGTCCGTCTGTCTGTATATTATAATTTGAAAACACGATAAATGCCTCAGTTATGGACCAATCGTCAGAAAATATTGCATATAGGACGGGTTCTGGCCAATGAAGACTTCTATTGTTTTTTGTAATGATAAATAAATATTTAGGGGATAAAATGGATTTGAGCATGACTGTTTTTATGAAGATCGGCCAATACACGGCATAGCAAAAAATCCCAGACTTTTGTCTGAAAATTGACGAAATAGTTCTTCTATGGCACATATATTAACTCCTAAGGGACATAAACCGGCCAAATTGGCAGTATATCCAAGACATGACCTTTAAAATGATACCAATTATATTGTTGTTTGCATTCGGATTTGGATGTTTTACGTAATTTATTATTATACTAAAGTGCGGAAATGTCGCTCTGATCGCTCTAAAATTATACATGAGGTTCTGGTTATGTCCAATGACGACGCCTTTAATTTTCGATGATTATCAGATGATATTCCGTGGATGAAATGGACAGAAAAGTTTATTTTTGTCTGGTTTTTCTAGTCGCTCTAGACAATACTATTATAAGCCGAGTATGAAAAGTTTGCCATGGGGAAGTCGATCTGACCAACTAACGGTCAATATTTTGTAGGTCAAATAAACCAAAACTTTTTTGTGTTATATAACAAAATTTGAAAACTTGATTCGGAGAAGATGCCGCAGTGGAGCTGTTGACATCTAATCGGTAAAGAGTGCAAATATTGCGAGTATAGATCCACAGATACTACGAGCTCAGTGGAAGTTGTGTATGGTATCAGTAACGTAACCTCACTTGTTTTTATATTATCGTTATATTCGGGTCCGAAAATTTCTGTTTTCGATGGATACCGTAATATGAGGGCTATAACGAAATGTGGATAGATGTGCCCAATTTTCAATACCGAAAGTACTCTTATTTCATGGGACGAAAATATAAGTATACTAGGGCTAGTGGACCGTAGAAACAAAATCTAACAGACAAAAAATATTCTAATAATGGTACTCAACAAAACTGTTCAGACGCAACGTGAAATAGCAACGACAAAAATCTATATATATAAAAATGAAGCAAGAAAAATTTATACTAACGCATCGATTGAGAACGGCTGATCCGATTTGACTCAAAATTTCTTTCAGTTGTCGATAATTACAGTGGGAAGGTTTTTATGAAAGAAAAATCTTGCAAAAATTATTTGAAAGAAACGGCTAGACCGATTTGACTTAAAGATTCTGTTATTAGTCTGTAATTGAAGTAGAAAGGTTTTAATGAAAGAACATTTTGTGAAAAATCCGCGAAAATGTTGAAAAAATTTATTTTGGAAGATATTAGCATGTCCACACGTTTTATATCGAACCATTATGATTTCATCCCTTCATAGTTCTTTTTGGTCATATTTTGGGCGAAAATTGGCAGCGTATAATATGTTAAAGTAATTGTCAATTATGGAAAATTCTCAAAATATGTTAATTTTCTACAATTAATTGGATTGTTATTGCCTTTAAATTTATATTTTCATGTATGCGATCATTAAGATTAACATATTAGTATTCCCGTCAGATAATTGAAGTTTTTTCAAAAAAGTGTATTATTATTATTTTTTTTTACAATGTTTCTTTTTTTGCCGACAACTTGAAATTTGGATGTGGACCTATGTAACCTTAACCCTTTGTGGCCCGATTTTTTACCCGTGCCAATAGAACTAATTTCTGTACACAGATTTAATGTAACTATCCTAAATAGGATATGAGCAAAATTTGACGTCTCTACATCCTTGCATTCGGGAGATACAGTACCTTCTTTCCGATAAATAAAAGTCCAATATCAACAAAAGCAAATGCAATATCGACGAAAAAATCTCTTTTAATTAATCTTTAGGTTCCTTTTTACAAGACTCAGCAAAAATTTAGAGTTTAAATATTTTGGACTGTATACACAATTTGGTACTGTACATATTTTTGCTATTGAAAAGTGTATAACATGACCAAAAATTAGAATAGAATTTTTTAGATTTTTGTTATGTGTCGTCCATAATCAGGTCTTAAAATATGTAAATAATCCAAAAAATATACATTTACTTGCCGCGTATTAAATATAAGCTCTAGAACATTTTGTTGCCTGTGGGCAACATTGGGCCATAAAGGGTTAAACAGCATCCCACTCACCTGTTAAATTAAAATCAAGCTGTTAAAAAATATGAGGATATAACAAATCCGATTACAACAGTTCACGATTTAGAGTTAAGATATAAAACAAGTATTTACAATTAAAAGAAGGTCTATGGCGTCAAAATTGGTCAAACTCTTCCCCCCATAACTGTCAAAAACTATTTATAGAATATATAGCAAACATATACGAATCTATAAAGGCAATCTGAAAACTGATTAACAATTTGTTTAAAAATGAAATATACCTATAACTGAGCGGAAACCACTACATTTCTATGCCCAATCTAAAATTTTTCGAGTTATCTACTGATTTCAATATAAAAATCAAAAGAACAGTTGGTCATGAACATATATTGTATTAAGAATTCTTCAAGAAGGGGCAAATAAGATAATGAAAAAACGTTGGAGCAATATCAAAACATCATCTTCTATTAAAAAAAACATTTTGTGAAATAAGTTCTAACAAATTATAAAATGTTATGTGCTTGGGCCTGCATTGGGATACCAGTTAATACTTTTTATTGACATAAACTTAGCGGCAAATGTTTTTTTTTTACCAACCTTATATTGATGCAATATTGATAAGGCAAAACAACGTTTGCCGGGTCAGCTAGTAAAATTTAA